CCCCCCTTGAAATGACCTGGCTACGGGCCTGTATTTTAAATACATTTATAAACAGTTTTAAATATTTAAATATAAACTATGAAAGTAAATGCAGGTAAATTAGATCAATAACAAAAATGGACATAGTAGTAATCTTTATCTATTCATTAACACGAATAACATTTTCCATCTTCTAATCAATTTTTATATAGCCGGAGTTAGTTTCGACCTAGGCAAACCTTCGCCAAAAAGGTACACTTTCTCCATCAAAAGGCTTCTTCTATGAATGGAATTACCTGTTTGAAGCACAAACTCCTGTAGAGCAAACCCAGTACCATTACGATTTTTAATCGTATGGGAAATCCACTCACTATGCAATTATTATTATTATTATTATTATTATTAAATAAACTGTTATTAATTTGAATATCCGTGTAAATTGTCAATATTATGATAATGATGATTATGATGAGGATATTGATCATGGTAATGATGTTCATACTGGTACTGATGATGCCGATGATGATGATGATGCTAATTCTGATGATGGTAAAAATGACTTTGCTGTAAGCAATGTAGGCCTACTGTATACAAACAACCCCACCCCTCCATATGCCTTTGCCCTATATATAAACTTCAACCAACCAACATACGGAATCGCACATGACATGATTTATCTGTTATTATAATTATTTAATGTTTGATTTACAGTATGTAAATGTGTTGTCATACAATAAAGACGGATATTCGCTACGGCGTATAATTATAATCATATTATCATAACAAAGTCGGGTTCTAGGAAAACTGTTATTGGTATGCGTCTCCGTGTAAATTGTCAATATTATCTGACTATATTCAAAACACTAACTTCTGTTTATATTGTTTACTGAGCAACTGTAAATAGGCATAGGCCTGTTATGTGTATACATGTTTGTAATTAATTTGATTGACACTATTGATAATGAGCCAATTGTAAGGAATGATTTTTAAGTGATTTTGAAAAAGCTATTGATTTTTCAACAATCTTGAATGAGGATAAACTATCCACCAATTTCTAATAACTTGAAGCCTGCAAAAATAAATTAAATTAATTTTTTTTTTTAAACCATATAATAAAAAATCATAGAAAACATTGTGTATCTAAATACTATCAATATATATTGAGATTAATTATAAATAAATAATTAGGGAAATTATGAATATTATATAATGTAACAGATCAATATATATTCCTTCTTCTTATATAGGCATATATAATAATAATATTAATATTATTATTATTATTATAATTATTATTATTATTATTGTTATTATTATTATTATTATAATTATTATTAACAATAATAATAATAATAATAATGACATTGCAGCATTCGTAAAGTGTTTGTCATTGGTGCTGGGAACAGTCACTAAAGTGGGTGGGGGGGAGCGCCAGGTCCCCCCAGTAGAAAAAGTGGGTGGGCCAATGGCCCCTTGCCCCACCCTCTTCCGCCGCCGTTGATACCACATATTATAGGCCTATGACCTTTTCAAAAATATCTACATATATTGTCATTTTCTGCAATGTAAATGAGCTCTAGCCGTCTGGTTATTATATAAAAGTTAAATGTTTTTCTTGATTTATGAGAAAAGATAATTCTGTTGACTTTGTATGGTTACTGTGAATAAAAATGATTTACCTTTAGCATAAATTTCTATATTATATAATATTATTTTATTAATGAAATTGACAAAAAAAACCTTAATAAAAGCATTATAGACCTAATTTATTTATTTATTTGAAAAGACAATAATATTTCATTCATTTCAAACATTTTTCATAAATCCTATACTAATTTATATATTACTAAAATTGAGGTGTTCATTATATACTTATTTATAAGTATATTATAAAATTTTAATTTGCATAGCAACGGTTGCTATGGTGATGACCTTGTATTTTTTTACGCCATTAAATTCATTTTTTTTTCTATAAAAGCTGTTTATTGTATAAAAAATACTGTATAAGCCAATTTAATAATATTTTACTTGAGACAAATATTAACAGCAATTATGTGAATTTCATTCGTTGCTATGGAGTTATAAAAGTTCTGTAGCACTTCAATGAAGGTGTTTCTTGATTTTGTTTTCTTAAATATTGCTCTTCTATAATACATAACTTTAATACAAAAATATTCATAAACCTATGACAATGATGATTAAAATAAGCTTTAAGCATCCCTTATACTTAAATTTCATGAAATAAAATAGGAAATTTAAATTTGCATAGCAACAGTTGCTATGGTGATGACCTTGTATTTTATACATCAATGTGTTAACTTTGTTCAATAAGAGATGTTTATTATATAAAAATATTGTATCTCATGATTTTTGCTTGGTCAGTGACAAATGTACGGCAATTCTGCTGATTTTTGAAAAATAGTGTTGCTATGCAATTATATCAAAGGTTTCAGGATTTTTTACATAATTCTATTCTATGATAATAATAGATAATTCAGATGTTAACAATATTCATAAAACCTATGAAAATGAAGATTATAATAAACTTAAGCTTCCTGTATACTTAAATTTCATGAATAAAATAGGAAGTTTAATTTGCATAGCAACGGTTGCTATGGTGATTGAAATTATTGTTTTTCTTAACGCTATATTCATTTTCAATGATTAATGAATATTTTGAGTAAGTTTTACCAATTGTTGATAATCATTATTCGAGTAATGTTATTTTTTATATAATTTAGCTAAAACTATAATTTAAAGGGGAAAATTGGCGGCCATTTTGAATGCGTATTTTGGAGGTGTTCCTCCAAAGGGATTTTGAGTTCTGAACCTCTCAAGACCTATATTTTCAGAAAATATTAAAATTAGCCGGTAGTACTTCCATTGCCACCTCCACCTCAAAATAGCCTCTAATCTGCTCGCCTAATAGTATTTCATAATGTCGCAGCTACAGTGGCGTGTTCAGAAATCTTGAAATGGGGTGTGGGGGCTGGGAATTGGGTAGCCCGATGATAAAGTGAGAGGGGGGGTGATAGCTCTCAAAGTAAGGTGATACAAGGTGATTTTTATCTAATTGCGCGTGAGTTTTTTACTTCAAACATTTTCAGCGCGTGAGTTTTTTACTTCAAACATTTTCAGTGGGGGGGGGGCGGTTATGGGGTGCACCCTCTGCGTACTTCTAGAATACCACTGTGCAGCTTTTCTTTTTTTTTTTTTGCAGTAATAACACATATAGTACATACAACAGAAAAGAAAAACATAAAATTGAACTGGTTTTTTTTTTTTTTTTTTTTTTTTTTTTTTTGTTTTAAA